AGACCCAGTTTGAGGACTGATAGTAGGCTGGCAGGCACACGGCTGTACCAAATTTTGGAACATTTTATTGACAACAGAGTGCGTTATGGCACTTTTTAGAGTGGACCTATAATTTTGTCTATCAGGCTGTCAAGGACTGGAAACCCACCTAAACTGATCGTTTTCAAACACGTTCTAGAAAAGGCCAAATCATGAAATTAGGAGCCGCCACATACAGGCCATTGTCGATGAACCTCTATGAATAATATTGGGGTTGGCAGAGACAGCTTTTTGGGGGTTGTACCACAAATCAATCTTTTTTTTCCTAGACAAGTTTTTGTCTTCCATCTTTTACATTTATGCACATAATGTGCGCCGAAGCAAGCAGAAATCGGAGCCTCTAAATGAGATTGAACGTCATAACATGATAGTAATAATAATTTGCACACCAGTCGGCCGAGCATGCAATGGACGCGCCCAAACACCGAATGGCATGCCTGGAACTTCACTCTGGACAGGAATATCAAGTGAAACCCTGTCGGACCCGGCTTAAGAACAGAGGGCGAGCTATGCAGGCTACTAGTTTCACAAGGGGGCTGTGTAGAAAGAATCCGACAACATAAAGTACAACAAGGTGTGGACCATTATCTGTTTCAGTTTCATTCAAGTATCGTATCTTATCGTCGTACCAGTATAAGTATTGTCTAAATTTAGCACTAAGAAGGTCATTACCAACCTAAATTCTTTGAGTTTTTCTATATTGTAATGGCAGAAGACCTCAACCGGAAGACTCGATTAAAACACACACACACGGCTCGCAATGGCTCGCAAGAACTGTTGTAGCCAGGGCCCGGCAGGAGGTGGCATTTCAGAATTTTGAAAACGATATCCCCTTTGAAGCCAAAATTTCTCACGACTTCTCCTTTGACCCTATTTTTGGCCCCCGTAAGTCCCTGACAAACAGATATACACAAATAATAAGATGGGCGGCCTCAGCGCTTATTATAGTAGTACTACCTGGCTTTCCTGGTCCAGCCCGGGTCATCGTTTGAGAGGATGGTCAAAAATTACACTTACTAACGACTTATTACTAACGACCCAAAAGAGCGAAAGTACGGAAAACTTGACCATATTGCGAAAACTGAAAAAATACGATTACAAAAACAATTTTTTGCATAGAACATTACGATCAAATATGATCGCTGAGCCTTCTGAGCCCTTGTAGGGCTTATCGAAGAAGCAATCGGTTGAAGACTGAGAAGATTGCTTCAATCAGCGATCAGTAATCTAGCAAAAAGTCAATTTCTCAAAGTTTCCACGTCGTCTGTGCAAGGTGCACCGATTGCGATTGGAGCGCGCTTTCCGAGGCCGACCATAACGCTGTGAACCCTATTTGGGGCTGTATCGAAGCGGTGCCTTGGTGGTTTTGGAAGCGGATTTGAACATGTAGTAATACTCTCGACCTACGCCACATTTATGTAAAGAAATCCGGGAAATTATGTGAAGGAAAGCAGGGAGCCACCCCAGGTGGCTCCCAGGTGGCGCGGGAGCCACCTAATTTCGAAAAACACTTACCATTTTTTAAATTCACATAAGTTTCTCATAATTTTTCATACTTTGTTACTTAGTCCTACTGCGCATATACACACCAAATCCCGCGCAATTTCGTCACCTCTGCGTTGCAAACGAGCCATTTTTCCATTTTCTTGATAGTGGGAAATTTTCAGAAAAAACCTTGCTACAACCTTCAGTCACATAATTTTTCAGTGAAACTCCTAACTAATCTCTTACAGGCTTGTGTCCACGTATGTACCAAGTTTCGTAGCATATCGTCATCTGCGCGTTGCAAACGAGTCAATTGAATGCGCATCTTCATTTACCAATTTTACAAAATTTTCGAAAAAAAAATGCTTACTCGTTCCGTTCACATAAGTTTTTCATGATTTTTCATACTTTGTTTCCATTAGCCTCTCTCCGTTCGCTTACAAATTTTGGTGCCATATCGTTACGCATACATTGAGAACTCGTCATTTATGCGTTACAAACAGCATTGTTTGAGCGACGTCGCGCGTGCGGCAGTTAGCGACGGCGCGGTTCCACGCGCGCGAACTCCAGTGTTCGCCTGTTGAGGGACATAACATGTTAAGATAAGCAGCGAGCATGACCAATTTTTTTCCGGGGCTCCGCCCCGGACCCCAAAAAACGACTTCCCCTTTGCTTTTTCGGGCCAAAAACGATATCCAGCTTGTGAAAGCGCCACGCCCGCCGGGCCCTGGTTGTAGCATTGATTTGCGCCAACAGCCAGACCTTGGAATAGAAACATTTGAAGTAGGCCCACGACTGTGAGGACTTATGGTCCAAAATGAGAATTTTAAACTTACTAGTCAACAGATCTTATGAGCTAAAAGAATATCGGCCAGATTGCGTATATTATACAAACTTCTGAGACAAGAACGGCCAGTTTGGTTTTGTAGTTAGGTAAACCTCTTGATAATCCTTGCTCGGGAACGATCGATAAAACAAGATTCTTGTGAAAGTACGCTGAAATCAAATTTTAGAATGTATTTTTTCAAGGTTAGATTCCAAACTGGGCTACAATATTCCAGGATGGAAAGAATGTGAGTCTCTTACAATCTTATCCAGGCTGTTTTGTCGTCCGTATGTATGTTTCTAAGCAAGGAGCGCATAGAGCATGATGCATTAGTAATTATAATGTCAATGTGGGTGGAATAATTGAGGGGAAACATTAGAATAATGCCTAAGTCCTGGACGTTATATTCAGATTTCAAGGAGACCCTGTAGTCAGGCTCAACTGAGCTTTCCCAAGTCTTAAATGACTCTTTACCCTCCATCCCCAGTCCTCTGCCCATGTTAGCATTCAACGGCTGATAACTTGAGTTTGTCAAAAATTTCCTCTTCGTTATCATCAACAGCATAGAACTTCATATCATCCGCAAAAGCTGCAACGCTGACCCTGCAGTCACTTTTGAGCAGCTTGGAAATTTCCACAGTATAAATGTTGAACAGGAGTGGAGATAAGGCACTCCCTCGTGGGTACACCCGAAGGGGGGAATTTCGGTGACCTTAGGAAAGGACGGAAAACTTCTATTTGAGAGATAAGATTCAAACCATGGCAAAGGTCTTTGAATCCGATAGATTCTAGTCTAGCTAAGATTTTAAGGTGAATCAACGAATTAAATGCTTTCATAGGATCAAAATGTATAACTTTGTCTGATTTACCACAAATTAGCAACATTGACAACATTTTGTCAACTACATAGTTATATTGGAGCCAGGGATAAACCCGTACCGCTCGTCGGGGAGACACTTCAGTTTAAAACACCATAAAATTTGACTTGGCAAGAATCTTTTTCCATTATTTTACAAGCCCGCAGGCAATACACTATACATCTGAGCTCAGTAAGTTTGCTTGCACCAGTATGCTACGGGAACGGAACAACCACAGCTTGTTTCCACAATTCTGGAACAGTGCCTGGCTTCAAAGTGTTAAAGATATGCAACACTGAAAGCTTTAGCACATTTCTAGTGAAAAAGGACTTTTTTTAAGGAATGATCCATACTCGCAGTTTTCATGGAGGTGATTTGAACGTTTGAACCTAATAAGTTTTCCTCTCTTTTTTTTTTGAGAAATAATCGTTGAAAGCATAGCCACCAAGTACGAAGATTGGGTCAAACGAGATATTGGCACGGCTCCTAATTCCATGATTTGGCGCTATTTGAAGTGATTCCTGAGTGTGCTAATAAGGAGTAGTGACTTGTTTTGAATGCAAAAAAAACAGTAGCTATTTCATTTTGAAGAAAAAATTAGCCATGTTTAACAATGGTCAGTTTAGCTGGATAGTCCAGAATTCGACAACCTCAGAACTCGCTATGACTTAGATGGGAAGCCACTTGACATACTGATTAACAAAATGAAACTCATTATGCTTGGTAGAGCCTTTTTTATGCCTACGCTAGTAAAAGCCAGTTGGGGGGGGGGCTTGCTGAGACATAACTAAGGGGAGGGGGGCGTATCTGGCGGTCGCCACACCTCTTGCTCGATCCTGCCAAGGTCTTGTTCGTCTTTTCAACCATTAATGTTGCATACATAATTGCTCGAAGAAAGAGAATGATAACTCTTCATCACCGAGTAAGCAATAAACATCTAGTGATATAGGCACATAAAGGGCGAGCACGCACGTATTCGCGCATCTTTCCCAATGAGAAATGACATAGCAACAACTCTGTAGAAAAAGGGAAAATGATTGCACACCCCTTTGGAAAAAAGAGAGAAAGAAAATGCAAGTGGACGGTGGTGAACAACTATCACAATAAGTTTCGAAGTCATATAAAACGGAAAGATGGGAAGAGGATGAAATTGTGTACATACACATAAAATAACGTCTGTGGCAGACATTGAAAAGAACAAACGTAGGGTAACAAAGAAAGAAAAAACCAATAAGTGCCAAATGATTTCAGAAATCATCACAGATGAATTGGGAGAACCCACAGAGCAGAACAGGAATGAGACAAATGCAGCGGCTTTAAAGTACGCAAGTATTGCCAGGAAAGACAGCTCTTCCACTTGGACGTGATTACGTACCACAAAAGCGCACTACAGCGATATGCGATATATAAGCGAATTTGCAGCAAACACGTCAGAACAACACTAAAATAAGACAAAAGCCAACAATAACAAAAACTGCGACACAACAGAGAGAATGGGTCCTCGGAGCGGAACTACTCAAGCATGACAGCTAGGAGATCCGTGCCAAGGGTACACGAAAGAAGTGCGAGTTCAACCCCGGAAGGCGGTGGAGAGTAGATAAAGCTCCTACGGGTACATCCTCATAATAAATTACCGTACCTTATTACTAACAGGCTAACTAATCGGAATGTCATTGGGATCGTCACGAAAATACTTTCATATTAGCGAAGCACTTCGCTTTGGCATGAACTGATAAACAGAAAGTGCTGAGGAAGGTTATAAAGTGAATTCTGTGATCACATTCTTGTGTAGATGTGCAAGATGTTTACGGTATGACAACACCGTATGTTTTCGCTTTTTCTGCGTTGTATTCTTTGAACTTCCATTGTTGAAATTTGTTCGAGGCGTTGCACGGCTCCATTTTCAACTTCGCACCATCTTTGGTCATTTCCAGACACTTTTGCGATACAGCGTGGAACACTCTACCTGTCTAAACAAACAAACTTTACAGCAATCGCAACGAAAATGGTCCACCTCATGATTGTACTGCCATTCTTGATTTCCTTTCATACCGTGACATGGAAATACCATAACATCTTGTCCAGCATAATCCACGCAGGTTTCATCTCGTCGTATTTCTCCATCTTTTGACATCATCCAGTACTAAAACTAATGGAGCTCCAAAAAGAACTATAGTGGGACCCTAACCACTTCCACTGGGATAATTTTTCCAATTTGCCACTCCTGTAAGGCTTGCTATGCAGCATCAGCAGTTTACGCGGTCATTTCACTTCATTGCACATCACTCCCATCACAGACCTTCTTGACAATCCATTTTTTAACTTTTAATTCAACCACATGTATCATCGATTATTTGCAGCATAGTATGCGTACTGCATACCATGCGCGTTATTTGACGACTTGTAAGATGAAAGCGTGATTAATTTCGAGGTTTTTCTCGTTTTCTTGATCTTTTGATCTGACTAACTGATTTGATTTGTAAGAAGTATCACTTAGCATGGTATAGTTTTGCTGTTTGTTGGGCTAGAAAAAATGTAAGTCGTTCGCCCCATCGTGTGCACACTCACATACTGAGTTACAAATAACTCAAGGACATTCTTTTCGCGTTATTTTAGATCTTGTTATATAGGCTGCACCCAACAAGTAGGTATATTTCCTCAACCACGATAAGATCCTCTCAATTTCTTAAAGGCGTCGTCCAGGCAAATCTGGACCTATGGGGATTTTACATGGAAAGTACTTTTGGGATCCCAATCAATGTACTGCCCAAGCGTCAGCGCAGGTGGTGCTCCAATGGCTGAGATATTCCCCTCGAAACTAGACCCCGCGATCGTATTCGCATGGATTCATGGCAGTTTCGCTCCAGGATCCACTCTTTGCGCCTTGAATCCATGCGAAATACGATCGCGAGGTCCAGTTTCGAGGGGAATATATCAGCCTTAGAGCACTACCTGAGCTGCTGGGCAGTGGCTTGGTTAAGGCCCCAAAATTACTATCCACGTGAGATTCCCATCTGCCCAGACTTGCCTGGACGCTGCCTTCAACGTTTCATAGTGAGAGAACTGATATCAACGAAATCTCCTTCAATTACAAGTTAGCATTCAGAATCTATCTAATATATAAATAAATATAAAAGCTATTCAAAAATCTGCAAATAGCGGAAAACCGCATGGCGGTCCCGGAGCGCGCGCACTACTAGCATCCAATTACTGGTTCACTAGTATTTCTAACCAAAAATAAATGACATTTCCGACTTTGAAGAGAGGAAAAAGTCACTGTGCTAAGTGTCGCATAGTTCTGTGAGATCTAGAACTTTAAATTCATTGTGAACAAAACAGACTAAAAACCGTACTTCCAATTGTTGTAAGCGCAAACCGTGCTATATACCTCTTGCCAAAAGCACTTGAGACAGCTTCAATTATATCAAATGAGATCCATATACTAATGCCCAGGTCTTATTCGATAACGCCTCTCCTACGTCGAAAGAATTGCGCTTCCATGGACCCTCAAACTGTTATCCTTTATACAATAAATGTTTTTAGTGCAGTATGATTTGATTCCCTCTATGACTGACTAATCGAAAAACAAAAATGAATCAAAATACAAAATGTCGCCTTTTCAAATTTCCGCACTGTGGTCTTTGTGATGAATTTATTTTTATGAGTCCTTCAAGAAGTTGTAAAATTGTGATTATACTCAAAAAGCCCTATAGAATAGTGTTGTCACTTACTATTAAAGAACAGACCAGCATCCTTTGACAAAAACATGTCAGTTTTTGTTTTTCGTTTCAGTCATGGTAAATCAGCAAGCGTTCATATAATGCTGAAGTGGCGACTATATGCCTGAGCCAGTGGCGTACCCAGGATTTCGGCTCGGGGGGGGGGGGCGCGACAAAGATTTTTTTCAAATGAAGGTGCGTGGCGTTAGCCACGCACTCCGAAAAATTGTTAGGGGGCTAATTTGAATTTTTAAAAAATTTTAAAAATTATTTTAATTGTTTATAAAGATAAACAAGTCATTTGCACATTTTTATAACTCATGTAAGTAACTTTCAAAAATTCGCGACCAGTTCTCGGGGGGGGGGGGGGGCGCCCCCCCCCCCTCGCCACGCCACTGGTCTGAGCATATTAAAGGTACATACGTTGTGGACTGAGATCCGATTTTAAGTGTTTTGACTTTCGGAATTTTGGCTTCAAACTACACGCGGCTTTCCCTTCTTGCGATGTATCTACATTTAGTAGAGCTTATTTTGCTCTATCGAATGAATGTTTCTCAAATATTTCGTCGAGTCATTTGCAACCCATTATGTGAGCCAGCACACAACGCGCGGCGACCGACGCCAACTTTATCAGTAAATTCTCGGTAACATCTTTTTAACGTAACAAACGGTGGGAGTGGTTCTACTAACTAATGGATATCCAACCAAACCAAAAAGAGGCAAAGAGACAAGGGCAAAATATTTAAGAGGGCAGTTCCTAGTTTAGCAATCGTCAAGTAGCATGGTGTGCAATACGCATAGTAAGTTACGAATGATCGAGAACAAGTTCAAGAATATCTATCTTGACGTATTAGGATTGAAAAGAATAAAGACCGCCAAACGCACTTCTACGCCACAAGCAAAGAAGCGAATGAATGCGTGCGAGCTTTTATACGACTTGCGAGCAGGGCCCGGCACAGATGATCTGGGGTCAGAGTGGACTTATTCTGGGGGAGTTGTTGAAGCTACAGTCTGAGCATTAAAATGGTATCACACTCAATAATGAAGCCTGTAATGAACACAAGATGTATTTTTGCTTTTCTTATACTAGATACCTCAAATTACGCTCTGTTCGCTTTTTTATCATCATGTTGTTTGGATAAGGGTTCCCCTACTGATTCTGACGTCAAAGGGAACTTCATATAATCTTGCCAAGTCATGGGGGCCTTCGTTTCCAGAAATGCTCCAAACCACGCGTGCCGGGTCCTGCTTGCGAGGGCCAGCCTATAACCAAGTCAATGCTTTTTTCCCTCCCAGTTAGATGGCTTGTCCAGCTGAAAGTGGGGGGGGGGGAGGGGGAATGAGGCTTGGTCCGACCTGGATAACGACGATTCATGACTACCTATTCAGGTAACAAGCATTAATCATAAAGAGTCTAATATTTTGGATTCGAACAAAATTTCTAACTAGCTCACGACAGCATAGGACTAGTCATATGTACAAGGCTACAGACTACTGGCAGGTTCTCCATTCAAACGATTTGCATTTTTTATAAACTTATTGAGGAAGGAAAGAGTGTAGTTTATTTTTCACATTCATTGTTGGATTATGGGGGGATTTAGGTTGTTCAGGATGGAAGTTACCGGAGTGATGATCGGTATCCCTCTTGGCGCTTCTGATGAAAAAAGAAGATAAATCTGATATCCGCGTTCTCCACCGATTCCAAACGATCTCCTGAGAGGTTACAAAAATGCGAAGTGCTTTTTCTTCAATAACCAGTGCCGTTTTTCAGAATATCCAGAACTGATGGATGGATACTGGGCAACGGACATTGACGTTAAGTCACGATTATCGCAATTCAGGATGAATCACATTCCGTTTGCAATCATTATCTGATCTGAGCTAAAAACTTGGAAGAACATGATTGAAACCTTCGCAAAGGTTCTTGAACACTTGTAAGGGGAGCCCGGCCTTATTGAAAGCCGTACGACCCACCAGATTCTACTTCATGTCTCGGTTGACAATTTCGGTCAGGCCGTTCAAGTTATTAAATCAACTTACGATCGTGCAAACGTTGATTAGAGCACGCCTTGCTATTAAGGCGGCTTTCAATGCATAACATACAGCAAACCTGGTTTCCTCCTTGATTATGACATTGATATAGACCGAACTTCTTTTCACCATGTGACGAATAGTCGAGACATTGACGATTACCACCGCCAGCATTTCGTAGCTATATAGTTTAAGCGTTTCAGGTAACTTTCAAGCAAAGCGCATTAGATAAGAACTGAGAGTTCAACAAAACATAGATCAGAAGAAACGGATTCCCAAAATTCTAGTCTATTAGCCACTGAACGGGATGAGCAACTCATCGTATTATGTATTTACAGCAACCCTTACTTGTTAGAATAGCGCTGAGCAAGCGTTAGTCAAGCCACACAGTTACCATAAACGAACCACCACGCATAGTTCATCAGAGCAAAAGTCTTTCTTTTCACACAAGTGGTATTACCACAACAGCTCCGTATCACCAACACAGGGAAAAATCACACCAAGGCCCAAAGATCTTTAGAGTGATGTGTGATGAAGTGAACTGTGCCTTGTGCACACGACCATGACACACTTTTGCATTATCTGACAGCGTCATACTCTGATTTTTCCTCAGCCGCTGACCTGAACCTTAGAGTGAATGCAATCCGAATATATTTTCAGAAGTTATCTTAGACTGGCGTGAGTTTTCGCTGTTTTGCTGGACTCGAATAGTTGTGTGCAAAAAATAATGCCATGTTCCTTGGTAAATTTTGTTTGAACAGCTTAAGTTTAGCAAAAAATTGTTGAAACATACTAAACTAAACTCATTTTCTGAGGCTGCATCTAGAGTTGCCCGAGACAGCACTGTGCTAGCCCCATGCCAGCGACCGCGCCAGGTATTGATTGATCGACCGACGATCGGGAAACTCTGGATGCAGCCTAGATTTTTTGGAATTTGTCTATATTAGACTACTATTACTGTTTTTAGTAGTATTAGTAGTATTAGACTACTGTACGTTGAGGTTACTATACGTTGAGGTTACTATACGTTGAGGTCCTGAGGCGATCTTTACATCTCACGATGTTCAACCTTCAAGCATTACACCTTCAAATCAGTTCAAATAAAACTCTAGACTTTTCTCGTAACTTTCTCCTTTCTCTTTTCTCATATTAATCCTATGGTTCCGGTCAGCGCTGAGTGACACGAGTCCCTACTACTTCATGATTCTTCAAACCTGATTTCCACCCTGACCATGGCATGGATATGGTGTGATCGGTTTTTCCGCTGAATCCTCATCGGCTGCGCTATCCAAACAATAGGCAGCACCTTGATTTCGTAGCTGAAAGCCCCAGTGGATAGTGTGTGCAGCGTTCTGCGCTCACCTGGTTGCCGCCCTGGCCATGACACCCGTACAGTCCCACCGGCTTCTCCTTCTCATGCCGACCCACTGCACAGTCCAGACAACGATCCGAATTACCGCCCAGATTTCGCACCTCAACACAACCACATGCCGCCGAGACCGGACACACATTCAAGTCGAATTCGATTCAACACAAAATCCACATATCGAATGGGTCAGTGCTCGAACAAGCACAATGTAATTTTGCTAGTTTTAGAGAGACACAGAGAATAGAGAGACACAGAGACGTCAATTGCTAACATTACTTTGTGCAAGCGTTCAGTTTCGGTTTCAAAATTTTGCGAATTATAAAATCAAACATTTAGCTTACAAGAGATGCCTCTTCAGTCGATGTGGCCACTTGAGTGAAGAGATGCAAATTGCTGAAGTCAGATAAAGGCTTACAAGAAATTACAATTCATTCTGTGGAACGCTTTTTTGATAAATTTACAAGTTCAACTCAGTTTTGTTGGCCATACTATACGACACGGAAACAGCGTTACCATAGCCAAAAAAACCTGATTTTACTCGCAATCTAAATGTTATGTAAGCAACATACATTTCAAATGAATTTTAGCGCTAGGCCTAAATCGTCAGTGACCTATTTTACGTTTTTTCCCTCTCTGGGCAATCTTACTTTGAGCTGCCGCAGGAGCTTTCGACAGAAGTCAGATGCCGAATTTTCGCGGAATGAGGCAAAACTAGCTGCGAAGTTCAGAATGACAGACAAGTTACGGCATTAAACTGGCGCACAACATATCTATGATCAGCTATGTAGCGCCGGCGAATCTCTTGGTAAATTCCATTACCGTAAGTCATGAGAACGTAGTGGGTAATGGTAGGAATTCTCGTGAATGAAAATAAGTATTCTATTGCAAAAACACAAGCATATGACCAAATTTTCCTTTTCGCAAACTCATAGCGCTACGACAAAAAAACCTAAACAGAACAATTTCCTCCCACCTTATACCTATTCCAGTGAATTATAGTAATGTTAGCAAAAAAATTCGCTCTCTTAAAGTTAAATTCTCCGCTCAGATCTGAAAATCATCATTTTAACAGAAAATATTGCCGGATTCCAAAAGATTATTATATCTGAAACGAAACAGATTAGTTTCTGCCTAGTTTCACGGCTGATAGCCCAAGGGAACAAGGTAAACAAAACCACATTTCAAAACAAGGTAAAGACTACTCACAAGGGACGCGTGTTTACTCGAAGTGGTCTCATCAGATGAGACCCATACTGCTTTGGAAAGTATTGCACAGTGATTCCAAATCTGCCTTCACTATCTGCCAAGCGACTCTGGACGCCGAGTTATGGACGTTTTTCGGGTCAAAAAACTGAACGCGAAACTAGAACAGAATCGCCCAAATTTGCTCAAATGGTCCCGTGTCGCGTATCAGAGCAGCTCATGCAATGGATACATTTTGTCCAACATGCTAGTACTCAACGCTGCTTCATCTGAGAAAGATTGTAATAATTGATTTTATCTACATTCTGCATTCATTTTTCGTTCCAAAAAATGATCATATCTCGGCGTCCCGAGGCTCTTGGCAGATAATGAAGGCAGATTTGAGACCACCGTGCGATGCTGCTCTTCAAAGTGATATGAGTCCCATTTGAAGACGCCACTTCGAGTAAACACGCTTCCCTTGTCAGACATGAAATGCACCTCTTGGGATGTAACTGAAAAGGGGTTGAAATTTTTTATAAAAGTGACCGTCTTCCTCAGGGACATCTGTGCGTCATATTTTACCAAACCACTGGGCAGGAACAACATAAAAGTTCGTGAGCACTGACCCATATCGTATGCATTTAGGCTTCGACTGTTCGCACTAAGCGGATCTTTGCCTTTCCAACATATTCAACATATGATAGGATAATTGCTAGCTCAATACATGCAAATCTACATCAATCTGAAGTCTCCGAACTTCCAATGCCACGCAATCGTATACTGAATATATTCAGCTGAAACTATCTGATTTCCTTAGAAGCCCGAAACTTTTCATTCTCAGCGCACGAACACGCATACACACACTCCATCTAAGAGATTTGAATGCAGAGAAATTTCTGTAGATTAGGTGAGTTAGTGCGCTTAGAAGGTTTCGCGAAAGGCTGCGCCACTTGCGGAACATCACATCTGAAGTCAGCAATCTCAATATTTTTTGTGTTACAATTGGCAATTAGTGTTTTAAGCTGCGTCCAAGGCTCGCGTGTTGGTTCTGCCCTCAGCCCTAGACCAGGTAGAAGAACAAATATCGCCGGTAGTCGCTTCCGTGGGCTCTGGTTCCTTTTTACGAACTAGTGCGTATTGTACCAGGAAAAATAGTTTACAAAAGTGGTGCCTATTTAGGTATTCTTCCACCTGGTCCCAAGATCGACATAAGACGCGTCGCGCGCAGCAGCATCCGCATAAGTCCCTCAGTACGCGTCATAGCTGATCCACTTCATCCATTTCGCTATTGGTCAAATCAGTGCAATGACCAAAGCGAAGCGGATGTTTACCTGACCAGCTTGACCCATTTCATTTACTTCGCTATTGGTCAGTTCACTGATTCGACCAATAGCAAAGTGGATGAATGGATCAGTCGGACCAAATACGGTGTATGCCTCACGCATGCGGTGACGCTGCATCCTATGTCAGTGCGCAGGACCGGTGCGTTACGACCCTAGACGCAGCCTAGCTGCTTGGTGAGTTAAATCACATAACTACTAGCTACTACGCTATCTATAGCAAAGGAGTGTGTGTGCGTGAGTTTGCAATCGTCACAGAAACAGCTAGCACATGAGATGCCCGCAACTACCCTTTGATTCAATACGATTGGCGGAGGAAGGAGAGGCTTCGAGGCTTAATCAAGGCAAGAGAATGATCAGTGATAAGTTTGCGAGAGAGACGCAGACTGCATCGCGGGTGCGAGTGCCCAGCCGCCAATCCGGTTGAATCAGGGGGTACACAGAAGGTCGCAGGAACACAACTACAGAATGAGAACTCGAGGAACTATGGCTAAAGCTTGCATGCACTAATTTACAAATCAAGCAAAGCTTGAAAAACGTAAACGATTAGCGGACAAATAAAATTGCCCCCATGGAGGGTAAGTGAATATCAATGCAAAAGCCTTGTCAACATCGATAATTAGTAAGAAAAAGAGTAATCCTGACGCGAAGTGATAACAAGGCTCACATGAAATACATTCTTGGTATGATTCTGGTACCAAAAAAAAAGGAATTAAACAATCACAAATGTCAAAAGATTGCTTTGTGACATTTTCAAAGCGAAGTCTGCTGAATGGGCGGAATGGCAGATGCCTCATGTGAGCAGCGATCGCCAGTGTAATCAGAATCGCTGCTCGCTTCCACCGACAACTGATCGAACAGAACCCAGTAGCTACTTTCCCGCCCTAGTGGTATTATTTACGTTCAAAAAGGTCAGTTTTGGCATCGTTAGATGTCAGCATAGATTTGGTAGTACGTTTACCATTCAAAAAAACTTAAATAAATCATAAGGCGAAAATCTGCCTCCCTTAATATTCCCCAGCGTTATTACAGATATTAGGCGAATAACAATTTTTTGTCATCGTGATCAGTGCAGATACAAATTTCAGCTCCAAAATTTTCCAAACAGATATTAAAAAGAACTAACTCTCACAAGAGAGTTATCATTTTACATTAGGAGAAATCAGCATTTTCCGCAATAAATTCACGAAACTGTCATTTTCTATAAACTTTGATATATGATCTACTAAAGAGCGCTGAACGAAAAGAATACTCTTGTTAAAAGCTCGTTCGTTCGACTACTAGCTGGTTCAACATACAGTGAAAACATGCCCGAAGCTCATGCGTATAATCACGGTAAGTTCTGCTGTAAGCCAAAATGCAAAGGCATAATAGAAAATGAAAAACTACACATGTAAAAACAAATTCAAGGATGCAAAACCAAATCAAGCTAGGCATGCAATTAGTTCAAACGAAATACAGATTAGTAACACAAACCCCCGAGCAAAATCCTGAAGCAGAACAAAAGCGGTGGGACTTTCTCCAGGTGTCAATGCTATTTACTAAACGTTTGCTCCACCCCATTTTCTACAGTACAATCATGACGTTGGACAGCAACCAGTTGCGCCGCCCATTCAAATACAAAACAAATTAGGAAGAAAAAACAATTCGATCACAATGTGGAATGGAAAACTAAAATGTGCATGCATCTATGTGAAGCATTGAAGGAACAGTGATAGGTGGAGGAGATACAAGAGGGAAGAGAGCACAGATAGAATGAAAGATGGGTACAAGGTGATATTGGCAGAAATTTGTACAGTAGGTCTTGATGGCAGGGCACCAAGAGAAAACGTAGGGAGAAACAAAGGTATATTCTACTCCAGGCGATCCTCCCTGAACACAAACAAAAGGTTTATGAACTCAGGTAGTTCGCATTATCCGTGTGCTACCCAATTAATCGAACCCGGCTTTCAATTCGCATTGAAGTTGAAATTTGTAATCCCGAAAATGTAACCAACCATCAGCCGCAAAGATTAAAGGAGTCATGAGGTTGTGCCATTCTCCATTCTAGCTCTGTGTGTGCATATCGCACTTTTTTATTGCGTAGCCGGATAACAGACTCTCAACGTCGCACGACTATAGGAAATCACTCCGAAGGAGGCGTACTATTCGGTACGCGTGTCGCCATTACCATAATGAGTCGTGAACAGATAGTTTACTCCGCTGGTACAGCGAACAGCTGCTTACTACATAGCGCCTTGCAAGCTTATATCAAAGCAAACTCTTTCTTCCACTATCACTGTTTATCTAGAATTATTTTACGTTTTCTGAAAACAATAGCTTTTAGAGAAAAAATCGCTCATTACAACACAGATAGATCAAGGCAAACTACATGCGGGCGTGATATCTTACTTCAGTATTCATGAACACAAAGGCTGTGAATAAAATCAGCCTCCCCAAAGAAAATTTGAGAGATGTAAGAAAATTTGCAAGCCATTTAGAAAGCGTAAAACATGCGATATCAAACCTTGAAAACGCGATCATCCGTCTTACAAAGTGAGGCTCCATGCACATGCATACTCACGCGGAATGGAACAGTAGATGTAAATGAGAGTTTATTTCTCGATACTTTGAAAAAATTGTTTTCGTCGCCTATGCTTAGAAATCACTATTCCATTATCCTAATAATTAAGCTACGGAGAAAAGAGCATTGTAACCTGCAATCTAATTCTCTTTGTTCGTTCTGCGAACAGTAACTGAAGATGTGAAGATGTGCTGTTAATCTAATCCGACGATGCCAAGGACTTATCCAAAAGGAGTAATGATGGATCAAAGTGCGAACTTTTGTGGGGACCTCCCAGAGGACGCCACCCTTCCAGTAAAAAACGCTGAAATTCTCATAGCTGTGCGCTGTTATCCATTATGCTCGGTTACTAAAGAAAGAGCTTCTTTGAAAAGGGCAGGCAATGAATAAAAGAAACTCTGAGAGCACCGAGATTTAAAGCTCTCACAGCTTTCGTTTTTCTTCTATGGAATGCAGGTTCAGGCCTGATATCGAAAAAGGCGCATGCGCCCTCCGGGAAGGTGAGTGCAGCTTAGGGCTGCATGCATTATCCCAGTGCATTATCCCACAGCTTCGAAAATGATCACTTTTTGGTGCTCTAAAATGTGAAGTTCACTCCCATCTATCTTCAAATACTCTTACCAAAACTTTTCAAATACGAGCATATTGAACAAAAGCATATTTTATAAGCCTTTTCGGATTATTTTTTTGCGATTCCGTGAGACAGAAACTGACCGTCTTTTTTGAAAGTCGATTATCTCTCTATGAAGTTGATGAAGACATCTCTTAATTGTGCTGATTATCTATACAAAAATGCTAAACAATTATGTTTTTGACAACAACAGAAGGATTGGGATGAGGCAGTTATCGAAAATAGGGTCTTGCTCACGGAGAATACTTTGATTTACCACTGCTACCTCAATGTTCTCCCTAGAAACATGCTTAACATTGCAGATAGAATCAGCACAATTTGAGATTTTTAACCAACTAAGCGATAGATGACTTCAAAGAAAGACGGATTGCTAGGGATCGCGGGAGATCACACGAAGAAAAGCGGAACCACCTGAGGTTGAAAGGCAAGGATAGGTTAGATCATAGATTTTGGTTGCACCAGGATAGCTTAGCTCTAATCTGCGCTCCTTTTCCCGGCGCTAATGTCACACGCGAACCGAATTTTCGCTTGTTCTTCAAGGACCTAATCATCACTTGACCTACTGCGCCATATCACTTTGCCCATAGAAAAGTAGAAAGAAAGTGAAGAGATGGAAAATGAAAATAGGAGTGCACTGCAATGCGGATGTTCATTCAGTATCACGAATAACACCAAACTAACAACCACAACAACAGTGTCCAAAAAACTAAGGTGGACATAATGGAAGGAAAATGATGACAGAAAGAAGTGAAAGCCAGAGGAAAGAGGAGAGTATGAAAAGCGAGAAAAAAATTATAGAACGTACCTCTCCCTTAGCTATAGACTCTCCTGGGACAAACAATTCAGGGAAAATGTTATCCAGATACCATTTGAACGTTTTACATCCAAGCCTTTCGCGTAATTTTTTACGCTCCGATATATCACCAAAATCACCCTGAATAAGTTCTTATATTTTCAAAATTCAATTGTTTTGCAGACCACTATTTCGCTAAAATAATGCAAAAAAACTGCCTTTTTAACCTTGCAAACCGTAAAATGGGGACAAAGGTAAACTTCAAGAAACACATTTACACCTGTTCATATAGACTCTAAAGAACTTCCCTGCAGCCCTGAAGGACTTGTCCCTTTCTTTCAGAAAACTGGCAAAATTACAGGAAATTCACATTTGGACAAAAAAAAAGAATTTTAGATAGACGTGAACCAACAGATGACAAGAATAAACAGGTCATACGACATACGGCGATTGAATCTACCGCTTTGCCTTAAAGGCAGTGTCCGGGCAAAAACTCGATTTTGAGATTTTGTGCTTACCCGGGCCTATTCGCTATGCTGAATCCGAAAATCCACATCGGAGAGCGCGAAAACGACGAAAAAGGGCTCTACCACTGGAGGAAAATTAGCAAGTGGGCGGGGTCTTCCCCTCTGTGAATTCACGCTCTCAGCTTCTGGGGCGATCTTTTTGATTCCGGTTTTATGTCACTCGTTTGCACTTGATCGGTAGTGATGTCAGGGCGGCTAACGGATTCGAGAAAATTGCCCTGGAAGCTGGAAGCGTGAATTCACAGTGGGGAAGACCCCGCCCACTTGCTGATTTCCCTCCAGTGTTAGAGCCCCTTTTCGTCGTTTTCGCGCTCTCCAATGTGGATTTTCGGATTCAGCATAGCGAATAGGCCCAGGTAAGCACAAAATCTCAAAATCGAGTTCTTGCCCGGACACTGCCTTTAATGTGTGTGGTGGCGCCCATGCTAGCTCCTAAAGCCTAGCTCATAAAGGGTGGGGCATACTTCACGCGACTGCTGTTGCGGAAGATTTGATTTGACAGTATTCCAGCTGTCCATAACTCACTGTAAGCACATTTAAAATGTACAGAAGATAAGGTATGTTATCAGTCCGCGTAAATTATATACACTACGCCTGTGCAGTTTGCTAGTATTGGATCTGAACACTTTTGGCGAACTGCCAAATCGCGTGGCGAATGACAGCGTCACGGTAGCATAGGTGTTGCAAAAATAGTCATTAAAGGCAGCGTCCAGGCAAGTCTGAACACATGGGGCTCTCACGTGGATAGTAATTTTGGGGCCCTAATTTAGCCACTGCCCAACCGGCAGCTCAGGTAGTGCTCTTACGGCTGAGATATTCTCCTCGAAACTGGACCCCGCGACCGTGCTTCGCATGTATTCATGGCGCAAAGCGTGGATCCTGGTGCGAAACTGCCATGAATCCATGCGAATACGATCGCGGGGTCCACTTTCAAAGGGTATATCTCAGCCCTTAGAGTACTACCTGCGCTGCCGCTTGGGCAGTGCCTTAGTTAGTGCCCCAAAAGTACTTTCCATGTAAAATTCCCATAGGTTCAGATCTGCCTGGACGCTGCCTTTAAGTACAAAAAGGCACCTTTTTGTAGAGTAAAAGAACAACTGAAAATAAAAGAGAAAACAAATGTAAATCAGTAAAGCTAACAAAGAAACTTACCAGTTGATTATTAATCCGTTCATAATAATAATGTTTATAATCATCTAACCATACTTCAGCTAATCGGACTGAATTTCGCTTGAGGACATTCACACCGGATCTAACGATAAGCACGATTAATAATCAATAATTTTATCAATCTACTTCAACACTTGATTACAACGTAAACGGTAACATATACCTCCACTTATACGGCGACCGTTTCCGGAACACATGTCCTACGTGCGAACACGGCACAATTTCTAAAGTTCCTCCACACATCCAGATCTAAAGTGAAAATAAGCCTCACAAAGGCATAAACGCCAAAAAGCATGTGATACACCTTGAAAGACAATTCTAGATTCTCTCCACCCCAGATATCAAAACCAGGGTCATACGTTCCCAACTTCTCGAAGTAAGCTTTATCGATGGAAAACAGACCGCCAGCCATAGTTGGTGATCTAGATAAGTAGAAGGAAATGTTGGATAATAGTGCAGTGATTACATTCCTAAATTCCTAAAACACAAAACGTACCGAACAGGATCAATAGCTCTTGATCGTAGTTTTCTATCTCGTTCCGGGATAGCGTGCCAGTTGAACTGAAGACCCCAGTCAAATCCACCAACGTTGGTAAAGTAGGCCTAAATCAATTTTCTGGCAATTAAAATTTCCATCATTGATTAGACATCTTCACCGTTGCACATTTATTAACTTTCTTGCATATTTTTTCAATTTTTTTACCCACATAAACTACGATGAAATTCTTCAAAGCATTGTTTAGCAAACTTGTTCAAGCCTAGTTTCCCCTTTATATATTCAACATTCCATGTTTCGACTGTCAATTTTTTGTGTGCAAGCACCTGCAGGTACCGTCTACTGTAAATGCCTAACGTTCCTACGTGGACACCGACTGTGAAATAGCTAAGCCATTGCCCAGCTGGAGCTGTTTATTCGCGTTTGAAAAATCCAACCCTCAGCTTCACCCATACTGTAATCTTTCCTATCGGAAGTAGGGGTGGGCTAGAGTTAAGACTTGAATTCTTAGATATCTTTCATGTAAGAACAGGCATTTACCTATTTAAGCTGTTTCGATGAATTTATCAAGCTATTTTACCTTTGAGTAATGATATTCAAATGTCTGATCATCAATGACGTCAATCACTGGACACACAACGGTTGTAGGATCACGTTTGATTCTATCCAATAGCGGTTCTATCCAGCCTGAAACGAAAAAGTTTACTGGGAAACAAGGAAAGGATCTAAAGCTGACCTTCCATGCATTCGCAATGTGAATCCAGATATGTCAGCACTTTACCCGTAGCGATTGCTGCACCACGTAACCTTGCACGGATGAGACCTTCTCGTTTTTCCATTCGAAGAATTTTTACTTTTGGAAACTGCGCCATATAGGTTGACAACGGTTCTGTAAGCGATGCAACTCAGCAATCTACAGTCTTTCTTCTATGATAATTACCTTTCGTATGTGCCATATCCGAGAAATCGTCGACCAAGATGACTTCTTTGAGCAACTTATCCGGCGTTCGTTCTATTATCGAGTGCACTGTACGCAGAAGTACCGACCATGCTTCGTTGTGGAAACAAACAACGACAGAGGTATCAGGTAAATCATCAAGGTATTTCTCCGTCAGACATCTAGAACATGTCATTGTTTTGTTATCTAGGTATTTGCAACTCCAAATACTGAAATTATGTTAGTGCTTCAGAAAGACAAAGTGTCAACAGTTTCGATTCCCACGCTACAGAGGTACATGCACTTTTCTATATCGTATACTATCCTAAGACTGCGCCCAGAGTTGCCCGCGTGCCAGCGCCGTGCCAGTGCCGTGCCAAGACATTACGATCAATAGGGGCGCGCCGCCAGCACGGCGCTGGCACAAGAGCAACTCTGGATGCAGCTTTACGATATTCAAACGGTGTTTGACCACAGCGTGCTTATACTAATCAAAATTTTGCAGCCACCTTGGAGTTTTGCTTTAATTTATTCTGTTTCGCACAACAAGTTCAAATTTCGATATTGCGTGCAAATTACACTGCTTAACAGTATGCCAAAAATTGCAGTTTCATGCACTCACGAGGAATGCATGTTTAGTCGAAGCGGCCCTTTTAGATGGGATGTATAACATACTGAAGGGCACAAAATGCTAATTCCAAATCTACCTTCCTTATCTGCAGAACATTTATGGAGAGGAGTTATGAGCGTTTATTGGACAAAACTCGAATGTGCAAGTAGGACAAAGATAGCTGTAACACTTTTATTGACTCTTCAATGGAGCAGCGATAATCATCAGCGATTTATTCAAAAAATACTACAAAAAAATATGTCACACTTGGCTGCATTATGTGAGGACTAGTAAGCTTTTAGCAACTCATTTAATCCAAAATGCACATTCAATTTTTGCCTTCAAAAAAAGCTCATAACTCCTCGTCCATGAACGTTCTGCAGATAAGCAAGGCAGTTTTGTGATCACCGTTTTACGCACTTAAAGGCAGCGTCCAGGCAGATCTGGACCTATGGGGCTTTTACGTGGAAAGTACTTTGGGGCCCTAACTAAGGCACTGCCCAAGCGGCAGCTCAGGTAGTGCTGTAATGGCTGAGATATTCCCTTCGAAACTGGACCTCGCGACCGTGTTTCGCATGGATTCATGGCGCAAAGCGTGGATCCTGGCGCGAAACTGCCATGAATCCATGTGAATACGTTCGCGGGGGCCAGTTTCGAGGGGAATATCTCAGCCATCAGAGCACTTCCTGAGTCGCCGCTTGGGCAGTGCCTTAGTTATGGCCCCAAAAGTACTTTCCACGTAAAAGCCCCGTAGGTCCAGATCTGCCTGGACGCTGCCTTTAATACGGTATACATCCCATTCAAAAAGGCCACTTCGACTAAACAAGCTTTCCTTGTCAGAAGGGGAAGCTGAAAATGGCGAAGTGGGCAAAGTCGAAGTTGGTTAAAACTGGCAGCCACCTTCTGCCAAACGTCTTTGGAAAACATATCACCTACCAGTATTTGGGCAAAGGTGCACCCCCAAACCTTAAGCAGTGCAACCAGCATTCATCACTTCAAAAAAGGAGATTTTACGGAGCAAATTTGCTTGGAAGCCAAATGACCGCAAAAACAGTTAAATCATCAGAATGTCGAGAAATAGTCGGCTGATCTGTGCTCCTACGGAAAGGTTGGAAAGGTTAGTTCTCAACAATCTAATGATTTATCCATTTTTGCGGTCATTTGGCGTCCAAGCAAATTTGCTCCGTAAAGTCTCCCTTTTTGAAGTGATAAATGCTGGTTGCACTGCATATCTTAAGGTTTGGGGGTGCATCTGTAGTTTAAAAGCAGCGTCCAGGCAGATCTGGACCTAGGGGGCTTTTACGTGGAAAGTACTTTTGGAGCCCTAACTAATACACTGCCCAAGCGGCAGCTCAGGTAGTGCTCTAATGGCTGAGATATTCCCCTCGAAACTGGCCCCCGCGAACGTATTCGCATGGATTCATGGCAGTTTCGCGCCAGGATCCACGCTTTGCGCCACGAATCCATTCGAAACACGGTCGCGGGGTCCAGTTTCGAAGGGAATATCTCAGGCGTTAGGGCACCACCTGAGTTGCCGGTTGGGCAGTGCCTTAGTTAGGGCCCCAAAAGTACTTTCCACGTAAAAACCCCATAAGTCCAGATTTGCCTGGACGCTGCCTTAAATACTGGAAGATGATATGTCTTCCAAAACGTTTCGCAAAAGGTGGGTGCAAGTTTTCGACCAGCATTGTATACTTATGAGGCACGACGCGACAAAATCTATGGCAATCAACTCTCAGTAAGAAATGTACTGGCGACCAAGACTGCGAAAGTATCAGCGTTTTTGATCGAGCGCTATGGCGCTAGCGCTTTTACCATCAGCTGTCTCCCTCATGCACGAACTATCTTGGTCGGACGCAATGACGCCCAGTCTATGCATGTCATAAATCGCCTATACTGTAGTCTGATCGACGAAACTCGCAAGTTGGCAGCGCAGAACACCGTGCCCGAAATAAGAGCTACAGTCCCGACAAATTCTTGAGATATTTTAATACCTATTCTCAACTGCGCTGCTGGATGAATAAGATTTTGTAACTTTTAACAAAAGACGATGAATGAGAATATGACTCACTCCTTATCAATGACTTCCGGAAGTGTTCGATGTATTGAGATGAGATCTGACGCATACTGATTGAATGCATTATTCTGGAAGCCTTGATCGTATGCCTTCTTTTGCTCCGGAGTAAGTTTCTGGAATAAACTTGTTATTCAGGAATTTTTGGCATTCGCGGAAACTCACGTTTTTGTCGATGTTCACAGCCCTACCCTTTTCACCTTCTTGATTTGGATCACCAGATTTGTAAATGGGATCCGATGTATTGACAAAAAATTTTGGTTTAGGTAAAGCCGGCATCTATAAAAAAAACTCAGCACATCACCAAAAATGAATGACCTGTTAGTTACCCGATCACCCACCTCTTCCTCTTTTTTCTTTTCTTCTTCTTCCTTTTTATCAGCTATATGCATAGGTGGGCCAAATCCTTCTATCATAGGTAATCGCCGCTTGGCAAATTCTGCTTGTTGATCGCGGAGCTGAACAACAAACATAGAACAACGTTTCGAAAAAAAACCTGATTAATTGCAAGTTTGATAAAATCTAGAAAAAACTGACTATACATCATGCAACTCAAAACAGATGTCCTTTAGCCAGCGACAGAGTTGCAGTGATTTATAGACTTGAAAAAGTCGCAGCAAGCTTTCGCTTTCGCAAGCAGGAAAAAAGGAAGCAATCAAAAACTCAGAAAAAAAAGGGGAGCAAAACTCTGTGATGGTTATGGACTATGCAAAAACAACCAGAAAAATCGTAAAAGTCTCATAGTGGCCGATTACACAAGCAAAATAAAAGGATATTTATCATTTATCATTATTATTCAATTCCATACACAACTTATTTTTGCTTTCTTTTTGCAAGGTACCTCATTCTCAAAAAAGCAAGAACGTGAAAGCGGCGGAATGTGGCCTATAGCAGCCTTAATAAAGGTGACTGAACTGCTCTGAGGAAATGCCCTCCCCCTCGTCCCGCTGCTTTTCTTTTCCTCGATTTTCACACAGATCATGCATCATTCATTCTCTAAAAGAGACGCGAGTACGCTTTGCGTATGTTTGATCAACAGTTTCATGTTTGCGTTTTGACACGTTTTGTTACTTACCGTTAGAAAATGGTAAAAGAACTCAAACTTGTGCTGTTTGAACACATGAACATGTTTTTCCAAGAATAAATCAACCAAAACGCGTTAGAGCTCACATTTAAACTTGTTAACCAATCGTACCCAAAGCGTACTCGCGTCTCTTAATCAGAGAATGAATGATATGTGCTATGCAATACTAGAGAATTCAACAAGTCAAATTATATATAAAAAAAATTTCCAAGCCGACTATCTAGATTCCAGTTTCTTGAACATTCCATTTTCAAAGAGTCTTTCATTTTTTTATAGAAGATAACCCGATTCCGTTATCTTATGATTTACAGTAGCTCGCTTCTAAAGTCAGATTTTGTTCCCAAGAACCAAAAAATACAGTGCCTAGCAAATCTGTCGTACGGTATTCCTAGCACAAGGGCCTAGCAAAAGTTCTCTGATATCTGATAACAAAATATTAGGTCGTTTCAAAAGTAATTTCGCTTTTTTCAAACGGGCGCCACATTTGAAGGAAGAAAGGTTTCTAAGAGATCTTGGAAGCATTCGATGCAGAATGTTATTCTCTTTCTAATGGTCATGAAATTGTTGCAAATCATTAAATGAGCTTTCAGAAAATAACCAAAATCTGCGACCCATGCTTTTTGAGATGGTCAAGTTTCACGATTTTTTAAAACTTTCATATCAATCCTCAGAAGGAGTTCAAGTAACGATTCGATAGAGCAAACCTTATAGAATGCAAAACTGCTTTTTCTCCTTTCCATAGCTTGTCATACATTTTTAACAGAATTTTAACTGATGCTACCGATTTTCATACTTGAACAGCTAAATCCTTGTAGAACATCAAAAGAAGAGCAGCTCGCGCACTATTCGATGCAGCATTTTCTCCTCTTTTTAACAAGTGTTTTTTGTTTCCGCTTCGTTAGTTTTCGGTTAGAAATCATCATAACTCATTTTTTTGGCGAGCCCCAGGATGTACCCGAAAAACTCGAAATTTGATATTTCGAACCCGTAAGCCCTTACTTGCTTTGTAAACTTAATGCTAACTCATAGTACCATCTTGGTAGTCTCAAATTCCGAAAAATTATGATGTTTGATGTGATTGTGGCTAAGGTGGGCCTGACAAAATCCTATGGTTCTGTTAAAAAATCTTTTGAAAAACTACGGCGAGCTATGAGAAAGAGAAAAAATAGTACTGTATTCTATAAGGTTTACTCAATCGAATCTTTACTTGAACTGCTTCTGAGGTTTGATATGAAAGTTTTGAAAAATCGTGAAACTTGACTATCTCAAAAAGCATAGGTCGCAGATTTTGGTTGATTTCTAAAAGCTCATTGACTGTTTTGCAACAGTTTCATAACCATTAGAAAGAAGATGAAATGATGCATCGAATGCTTCCGGGATCTCTTAGAAAACTTTGTTCCATCAAACGTGGCGCTCGTTTGAAAAAAGCGAAATTACTTTTGAAACGACCTAATATAAGCAGAGTGAATACAAACTCACAACATCCGCTGACCGTTCGGTGATTGAAAAATATATCACTGTACATATCCACACAGTTGGCACTAGCAATAATAATTTATATAAAAGTGATCTTTTCCGGGCAGGTAGTAACATCACGTTGCGTCGGAGTCTGTATGACTGTTGAGGAGTATAGGTACGGAAGACGTTGGAGCAGAGGAATACAGTTTATAGTTACAGTAATAAGAATAGGAATAGACTAGACCCGATAGTTGAGAACAAGGCAATTCGCGATGCGATCTGTGCAGAGCGATTCTGTGCTTCGCTGCTTCGTAGTCGCGTCGTGATGTCGTCACGTCGTGCCGTGCGTCGTCACGTTCCTCTCACGTCACAACACCGCCTGCTGCCAACGGCCGTTGCTGAAACAGAAAAGGCGGAGATGGTTTTAGTTTTTTCGCGCATGAACATTTCTTTAGCACATAACGAAGCTACAGAGCGAAGATCATTAGGATAGAAGGATGAGCAAAGAGATTGTTGGGCTTGTGCTACGTATTCATTGTGACCATGAAGATCTCCTGAAGAAGTAGACCTTGGACACGACAAAAAATCCTAATCTAGCTTCGACTTACTAAAGTGTCCAGCTAACGGGACTGAATTTTCTCAGATCTCCAGATCTCGAGAATGTGCTGCGCCCAAAAATATGCAAAACAAACACCATAGGCAGCTTACAGAAAGATCCGAATGTATGGGTCTCTTCTGTGCAAATAAGGAGACTCAAAGTCAGCTCTGCGCAGCTCACATAATCTGTTCGAGTCGAGGAGTCCGAACGCAAGTTTTATCTCAGGCCGTACTTTCTGCCGACCTCGAGAAGGTAGGCTTGAAAGACGGTAGGCTGAAGTTTAGACTCAATATCTCGTCCAATAAGAAAACATAAGAGCTGTCAGACAAACGAGAGCATACGCAGGACTCCCCAATCAGTTTCCATAGGAAAGAACCGAGAGACTCAGATTTTTAAACACTGTTAAAATTCGCTTCTTGCATGCGTGGGTGAGTAACATGAAAGCAGTGACGAAATTGCCATTCTCCTATCAGAAGGGTGGACACACTGGAGGAGACATCCTATTGGCGATTAGCTGATTTACCGCTCGTGCCACGCCCTTTGAAATTTCAGCTTTGGAAAAGGGCGGAACAAATTTATTCACCTTCTGTGATTGCAAAGTAAAATTCTGAACTGCGCGAGAATTCCTGAAAATTGAAGACAAAATAGGCCAAGCCAGAATTCACAGCTCCATCATAGAGATTATAATAAATCAAATGAATAGAGAAATGAAAATGATGAGTACGGATGTACACAGATATATAAGTCATAATTCAGTAACTCAGTAGATGCTCGTCATTCAAGCAAAATTCCTACTCTGCAAGCAATTCTAAACGTCAAAAGTATCCGGTTAAAATCACCATCATGAGGATCTGAGAATCGTAAACTCGATCTGAACGATTACGCATAAAAAGACGCATAAAAAAGCAAGTGATGACCTCGTGCTTTTTATGTTTCTTTGCATTTAAGGTCGAGCAACCTACTAAGGAGTTCAAACTGGCACTTCCTTCTTTGCTGATGAAAACGCAAAAAAATGAATCAGCACAATATCTTTTTTTACGCACGGAAACAGAAAAAAGAAATGACTTTGGTTAAATCTCAAGAAAAAGTTTTTGGACACGCCATTCGCTGAATGTCAAGGAAAAGCAAAAAGAGTCAATGAAGTCTTGTGATCGATCAGCAAAAACGAAGATTACCGATGCTTGCAAAAAAGTAACTTATATAGATCCTACTGAATCTTCAAAAAATTTGACGAATCTTCCGTTCATTCAATCAGTCTACGCTACCCAGATTGAGGACTACAAACTGTAAAAGATACAGCTTTGATATGAACAATAACAAAGTAGGTAGTAAAAGCTATCAATTTCTCTTGATGATTTGGTATGAGCAATTGTATGAACTTCCTTCATAATAACAAGACTACTTGGCGAGTTGATAATCCCAGCTTCTCTATTGCAAAGAAGGATTTGAACGGAAGTCTCCGGAGACTTGCATTGTGCGTAAGGTATACTATAAACAAACAATCACATCGTTTGGCACGATTCAAAAGCTCGCACATGTTCTGCGCGGGAGTGGCGCGCCATATGTCACAACAAATATCGTGACTAATGAATAACATTTGTCAGAGAGGTAGAAAGGTGGGAGGTGTAAGGGAAACACGAAGATTAGAAGCAATGCTCTGAATGAATTAATTTTGCATAAAATAGAGCTCAAAAGAAGCAAGACGATGATGTAACGCAGAAAAGATGGATACTTAGGTCGCGATTCACGGATCCAAAGCTGAGATGACTTCACTTCTGGCATTTCTATCCTAGTGTAAACCACAACTTTGGTGAATATTGCACTTATGAAGTGAGCGGTACTCATTCTGTATTATGAGGTTCCCTGATTACGGTTGGTATACGGTAAGAAGACTGTGCCTGAAAATGTGCTAAGACAAAAAATTTATCTACCACGATCATAGGTCCTACCACTCGAATGGGCGTATGATTCTCGTAATCAGCATCCGAATACTGAATACGAAGTAGACATTTTAGTTTGTGTAAAGAAATTCAGGATACTTGCGTTTGCCCCCTTTTTGACAAAATTGAAGCAAAGAATTTATTGACCTTTTACAGAAGTCAAAGTAAAAACCAGACTATATCTAAACTCGGTTAGGCACTAAGGAGATTATAAATAAAACTTTGGAAGGTCCAGAACATAGGATCATTAAATAGTGAACATGATGTGAATCAATACCGATGGAAAGCACCGCAAAGCCCACCTTCTTAGGAAAATAAGAACACCAGAATTAGATAACCGCCGGAGAACAACGTCTCGAATGTTGGCACTGGGTTATGATAAGATAAACGAAGCAAACGTGTATGACACGTCAGTGCTGTGGGCACTTCAATTACGGGTACACATTGCTGACGAAAGAGCTTGCAAATAATTTGAAATTCTGCAATGTATGGGGAGGCGGGGGGGGCATGTATAAAATGCTGTGATTCATTTTGTTCCATCAATGATCTAGACATCAGCTCAAAACAAACAAAAGCCGCGATTGCAACAAAGTTAAACAATGTCAGCTACGACTCGAAATTTTATGCACTCGCACAGCACCGATCCTCAAACACTTGCTTTATCGTCAAATTCCAGTCCCGTGGTGACACATAACAAGAGTTACAGTACATTTCTTTACAGCAAACTTTTTTACACTATACTCGATTTTGTCTCTAGCTTACAACTCAAATGTACTCCGCAACTTGACTCAAGAATATTAGCAATGCAACCTGTGGCAGTAATATGTGTCCCATCTAGTAAAAAATGACACCCCACGCTAGAAAACGACCAGGCGGAAATTTTGGGAGCCGAGGTGCTGGTGACTAGATTTCTGAATCCCTTAGAACTCTGATATATGCATAATTGTTGCTGATCTCCCGGATAGGGGCAATTGAGACACAAAATCTCAGTGTAAGGAATGATATAGCATTTGCAGTAAAGCGGCGTGAACACCACCTCTGCAACGACCTCAACTGATAAATGATTCGAACGACAAGTAGCCTAGTACTCAATATTATTCATTGATTCAGTTCAAAACAAAAAGATTTGAAGACAGGCGCTAGTCGCTTTTGTATCATTTGTCCACGTTGCAATGTGTCGCCGCCAATGCGACTGTAGAGTACAGGCTGTCTTATTAACAGTGCTGCAGCTCCAGGGGCCGCCTCGCTCGGGCTTGCGATACGTTCACGAAGCTCTGTGCGAACGCGCCGCAAAGCCAAGCACATCCTCTACACATTTTCTCAGCCTCCAACCCTTAGACGCTGCTCAGACGTGACAAAATGCATAACGGATACGTCCGCAAACGCAGCGCAAGAACCGAGCGATGCGGTCGAGAAGAGCGGGCTACTAGACCTGTGACACCGCCACTGAGGTAGCCTATTGAAATGACAATCATGAGACCAGCATCAAATTACAATTCCCAATACTGGCAGTACTCGAGTATTCGAACTTCCCTTGGTTTTCTTCATATATTACAGGTACCGATAAGAATATCGCTAAGAGGCTGCCTAAGGCCTCCGACAGAGTTCACGCAATTTGATCGTCGCGATTCAATCGCTACAAGACAAGTGTTACAAGTTCATTGCATGCCGATCTTCTTGTATTTCGGTTGTGATAGTTAGTCACGATTAGTCGTGTTGGAAAACTATCACAACCGAGTTGCAAGAAGATCGACATGCAAGGATACTGTTACAGTTGTCTTGTCGCGATCAATCGCGACGATCAAACCGCGTAAACTCTGCCCGAGGCCTGAGAGGCGATTGTTACATATAAAGGAGGTCCGTTCAGTCGATCTGGCCTTTTTATATGAGTCCTATACCGCTTAGAAGAGCATCGACCGCTTATTCCGAATCTTTCCATTATCTGCCAAGCTCCTCTAGAAGCTGGGTTATGAATGGTTCTTGGGACCAAAATGAAAGTAAAATCTAGATAAAGTCAACCTTACTCTTTTCAGAGCCAAGATGAGCAGTGTTCAGCATGAGTGTATTAGACAGAAGCTACCTATTGAATGAAGTGTTCTGATAATCAACAATGGATCATTTCAGTGCGACGAATTTTTTTCAAGTTGCGCTTCAATTTTTCGACCCCAGACACATAACTCGGCATCCAGAAGCGTTCGGCAGATATTGAAGACGGATTGGGAACCATGTCCGACTAAAAACGGGCCTCCCTTGTTAGCATATTTCCTACTATACCATTTTCATTGTTGCCATTGGTAGCAATTCTACCTACCCGCCTGCAAATTCGTGCTGTAATCTGTTCGCGAATCCGTCTTTGCGGAAGTGGAAACATAAACGCATGTTTGACATTCTTACATGAAAACTTACGATTCGGAACTGACAATCCATTAAGAACGAGGTTCACAATAGATCGTAAAACCTTTATTTGGGTCTCCTTTCCACGAGAAACCGATTTCGCAAAACTCTTAGCAAACGCAATGAAAAGAATGACATCTTGTTTTACGAAAAATCACACGCAAGGCTGAGCCAGCAGTATACTGCACCGAATGCAGCTGAATGAAACCTTGCATATGCCTATGCACTAAATCGCAAATCTACAGTCACGGTGAAGTGTCTGGATGATCTTGCTATCATATTTAGAAGTTCAAACTTTTTTATTTTTGTGAGTAAATATCTCGCGTTTTCTAAGGTTATACTTTATTAGGTGCATATTCGTAGAAGTCAATTCCTCGTACATCGCGTTCGCACCATCCATAAGGGCGGTAGCGGTGCGAACGTGATGCGCGAGCGAAATGACTGCTACGAATATGTAGCAACGTGC